TGCTTTTATTATTTATTAATTCATTTCTTATTATTATTTCATATTTTTCTTAATTTTTTCCTTCTAAAAAACTAATTAATTATTTTTTTTTCTTCAATATTTAAAAAGTGGAAATTAAATTGATGATTAAGGTGCATTAGGCTTGGGTTCTGCTTTGGCAAACTGCATTAATCTCTTAAATTTGACACTTCATCTTAGGTAAACTCAGTTTATTTGTTTTGGATTAAGATATTTTTATTTGTAAAATTAAATTAAAAACAATAAAACTCTTTTAATTTGTTTATTAGCTTTAATTCGATTTATTTTTCTTTTTCTTTTTGATTATACTTGTGTTTATTATTTTTATCTTTCTTAATTTATTAACTCATTTTTTATTTTCAAATTTAATTTTTTTTAATTTAATATATATATAAATATTATAAAAGTTTTAAATAATAATCATACTAATTGAAAGTAAAAAGCAAGTGTCTTAAATTAAAAAAATTAGTTGTCTTACAGATAAATAAGAGTTTTTTTTTGTGAAGGCAAGTGGTGAAAAAGTATGAATAAATATAAAATATTTGAATAATATAAAACAATATGTTTAAAAATATAATATTTTGTAATAAGATAATTTAAACTAAAATATAGTTAAATTTATTGTCTTTTAAATATATATATATATATATGGATATCATATTTATTTTGGTAAATTAGTAAATAGCTTATTAAATAAATTAAAATTAACAAATAAAATCACAAAAATTAAATTAAAAAGTAAAATTTGATTTCTCCCTAAGGTTTTATTTAAATCATGGTATCTAATTAATTATGATAAATAAAAAAAGGATAGAAATATGATTCATGAATAATATTTAAGATAATATTATAACTGGCATATAAAAGCTTGGTATTTTTTTAATTTAATAAGATATATTAAACTAAAAGTTCCAAATTATTTTATCGTTTTTGGAGAATTCGGAGGGTTTGCTTAAGAGAATTTAATTTATTTAAGTAAATTTAATTTTTAAATTTTTTTATTTTTAATAAATAATT